CACGTCTTCTGCAGTCTAACTCCCAAGACTGGGCCCTTTTTTGCAGGGGAAGGGTGAGGCAGGGTCTCCCTGTGGTAGCTCAGGCTGGCCTGGAACTCATGGTGATTTGTCTCGCTTCAGCCTCCCAACCTCCCAAGTGCTGGGATTGTAGGCTTGAGCCATCACACCTGGCAAGTCTGGGCTCTTAACCACTGTACTCTCCTACCTCCTGATAGGCTATGAGAAAGTCAGATTTTTCTCTCTCCACAACTGCAAAAATGAAAGTCACACTCTTCCTGCACTTCTCAGGTTAGAAACATTGAGGCAGATCTTTCACAGAAGGGTAACAGCTTCAATCTCAGAAGTTTCCTCGTTTTAGTTAGTAAATGTAAATGTGCTTCAGGTTGCTAAAGAATATTGATCAGGGGGCCCGGGGATTCAGCTCAGTGTTTCTGCCACCTGCCTCATAAGCACAAAGTCCTGAGTCTGATCCCCAGTACCAAAATTAAAAAAAAAAATGTCTATCAGAACTAAATTTTTGAATGCTACATAATTCTTTGCTGGGTACGGCCAGGGCAGTGGCACTCGGGAATCGGCTTCCTGGGCTGCTCTCAGTTTGGGAAAAGGAAAAGTCATTCTGTCGTGCGGAGAATCGGTGCTGATTGATGTGGTTCTATTTCCACACAACAACAACCAAAACTATGCTTATAAGCAGCACTTCCTGGTTATAATATGCTCTTTACAAAAACCGTCTAATCTAGTTGGTGTACTAGTGTGCTGGGAAGCTGAGGCAGGAAGACTGCAAGTTCCAACCCAGCCTGGGCAATTTCGCATGATTTTGCCTCAAAAAAAAAAAAACTAAAATGAGTGGGAGATGCAGTTTAGTATGAAGGCCATAGGTTCAATCCTCAGGACCACAGAAATAAATAATCATACATTTGTAGCTGGGGGGCGCACACCAATGTAATCGCACCACTGGAAGGTTGAAGAAGGAAGATCACAAATTTGAGCCCAAACTGGGTAATTTAGCAACTTAGTGAGACTTCTTTAAAATGAAAAATAAAATAGAGGCTGGGGAAATAGCTCATGGGAAATCTCTGGATTCAATCTGCAGAGCTGAAAAAAAAATTCACAGATTCTTTATTGCAGGAACTCTGATGGAAGAGTTCACACAGAGACAGTATAATAGGGCTTAGCCAGAGAAGGGAAAAGAATGTATTAATTTTTAATTCTTGTCTTTAATTTTATCAGAAATTCATCCATTCTCTTGGAAAATTAATATACAAGTCTTCTTTATGACCACCTGTACAAAAATGCCTGAGAGCTATGGCACTGCTAAGGGGCTGGAGGCCACTACACTCGGGACTTCAGGGATCTGAGGCTGGGGAGCCAAGGCTGGGGCAGAGAAGGTGCTCAGAGCTGGCCCCTCGGCACCTCTGGACCCCTGGACACAAATATCCCTGTTCCCCACCCACTGAGAAGGGAAGGAGTGAGTGACAAGGTGTTATTTGATTTAAAATGATTACCAAAAGGATGAGAATTCACCCAAATTTTGATCTAGAAAAGATCTTTGAGCAATTCTCGAATTCACTTGCAGACTCTCGTGTTACAAAATGCCTCTCTGGAAACCAACAGCTCCATGAAGAAATCAATCACAACAGTGTCTATGGCTCAGGGCAGAAAGGCAGCATGGCACCCAGCAAGATGGCCATCAGACTAAACCACCCTCTCCTCAAGGGCCTCAGGGAACCTTATTACACTCATACAAAGCCTTGCTTTCAATTATTTCCCAGGCAGCAATATTGCCCCTTAGAGTGAACACTCAACAAGGTAGTGCAAATGAGTATTCATCTACAAGAGCTTTTTGTTTAGCCACCTTGAGCCTTTAGTTTTCTGCCATGTGCGTGCGTGTGTGTGTGTGTGTGTGTGTGTGTGTGTGTGTTAGGACAGGGCTCCAGGGACAGAACCCAAAGACTTCACATTGATCTAAATCCCCATCCCTTTTTATTTTTATTTTGTGACAGGGTCTTGCTAAGTAGCTAAATTGCTCAGGTTGAGCTTGACTTTAGGACTCTCCTGCCCCAGCCTCCCAGACTGTTGGGATTACAGGTATGTGTCACCACACCCACTTAAATTGAATCTCCTTGGGTGGGGGATTTAGCTCAGTAGTGCTGCGCCTGCCTTGCAAGCACAAGGTCCTAAATTCGATTCCTGGTACCAAAAAACAAAAGCAAAACAAAAAACACTGACTTAAATTGAAACTCCTTGTATAAAATGTACAAATATATTTGCATTGATTGATAAAGTAACTAGTCCTATCTGTTTTTAGAAGTATTCTCTGGTTTTTGTTTTCCCCAGCCCCCCTCTGTTTTTTTGCCACGGATAAAATAGCCACTTTCAAACAAAACATGCAGGGAATGACCTTGCCCTATTGTGGGGTGGCTTCAACTCTTGTTTGTTCCGGAATCGGAAGTTCTTCCTAGAGAGGAAGGAGCGCCCCCTAGTGAAACAGTTTCTCAACCTTCCTTCACGGCCCCTCCTTTGCTTTTCCTGTTTTAATAGGCATAGAGTAACTGCAGATTTGGGGTGCATAGTGTGATTTTTGATGAGAAGACACTGTGTAATGATTAACTCAGGGTGATTAGCGTATGTATCACCTCAAACATTTCTCATTTCTTCCTGGTGAAATATTCAAAGTCTCTTCTGGGAATTTGAAATAAGCCTTACTGTGAACTCAGCCCTGCGCAGGACTCTTCCTGCTTTCTAACCTCATCTCCATGTCGGGTGAACAACCACCTCCCTGCTACTGCAGAGAATGGCAGACCCCAGCCCGTGTCCAAACAAAAACAAAAAATAAACTTTCATTAGTGTGGACATAATTCACCTAAGTTATATTATTCATTTGAACCTATTAATAGCAATAAATGAAAGATAATAATATTTTGCACATGTAAGTGCTCGGTAAAAGTTCATTTATACTCCTATCCACTCTTTATAATAGCAAATTAAGAAAAAATAAATTGGAACTTTTGAGTAAGATTTTTGGTGTGTGTTTCTATTTTTCTTATTGAAAATATATAAATATACTATAAATAAACTATCAATTCCAAAGCAAAAATAAGTCAGAATGAGAACTGATAACAAAGCTGGGCATGGTGGTGAATGCCTTCAATCCCAACACTCAGGAGGCTGAGGCAGGAGGATCACCGTGAGTTCAAGGCCAGCGTGGGCTACACAGAGAGTTCAAGGCCAGCCTGAACTACACAGCAAGAGCCTGTCTCAGCAAAACAAACAACAACAAACCCAAAACCAAGGAAACCCATTTATAAGCCCACAAGTATGTAGGTTGAAGTCTGGGTTCAATGCTCAGAGTCTATAATCAGAGAAAGACTGGTATCTCCAAGTTTAGGATCACTGACGACCAAACCCAGTTCCTAGCTACCAGTTTCATTTCTGGCCATCCAGTCTGAGCCACTCTGAGCCCCTATAGGTCATTCACAATGCTTGATGCTTGTGAAATGGCCCGTCCATCCTCAGAGCCAGCAGGGAAAAACATTGCTCACACAAGTCCACCTCACACTTAGACTCTCATCCCAGCAAGGCAACTTGCCCTTCTGAGGACTCCTTGGCTCCTGGGCCTAGTCACTGTAATCTGTTTTCGAATGTGGCTATTCAGGGGCCTCAGTAACAGCTGCAAAATACCACAGCCTAGTGGCCTAAGGAGAGGAGCTGACGGGCCCACCGTGGTGGAGTTGAAGTCAAGGTCAGAGTGTCAGCAGCTCTGCTTCTCCTGAGCTCCCTGAGGCTCCTCCATGGCTTACTCCTCACTGGGCCCTGTGTGGCCTTTAGCTTGGTACCTGCACGGGCCTGGTGCCTTGCTGTGCATCCAAACTTTCTCTTCTTATCAGACACTGGTCATACTGGTTCAGGGCTTCAGCCTGTGACTTTTGGAAGATGCAACTTTGACCAGAACAGTCTGACAACAAAATTGAGAGCCCATGGCTTTGATCTACTTAGGCAAGTACAGTGCTAGTAGGTAGGGTATCTCATTTAAAATAAGCCACCAAATTAAATTATGTACCATTGTATACAATTATAGCTTTATCCAAATGTTCCTTTTATTCCTGATCAAGAGTCTTGTAGCTGGGGATTTAGCTCAGTAGTTCCAGCGCCTGCCTTGCAAGCACAAGGACCCGAGTTTGATCCCCAGTACCAAAACAACAACAACAACAAACAAACAAACAAAACCCAACCAATCAACAAACAAAAAGAGTCCTGTAAGATTTCTTTTGTGACCCAATCCTTGGAGTCATTTCTCTCTTCTTGTGCCTCTCAAGCCAGTTCTAAGGTCAGGGCCCTTCACCTTCCAAGTGAGGGGCGGGTGGATGTGGTACAGAAGTAGGAGGGCGAGATCCAAATCCTTGTCCTCAGAGAGCACCACAGAGTAGGACAGTCTGTGTCTCCATACACTTGAAAATCTCTCACGCGAAAAGTGCCGCTTATTTTCATAGAACTCTTCTGCGCAGGTGAGTTTTGAGAGATGAGGCTCTGAAAATTAAAATAACGATTTCCAGAAAGAGAAGACCTCTCTGAATATTTGGTAATGCGTTGTCTTCTTCAGCTACCTGGGTCCTTTCAGTGCAAGGCTTCAGCGAAGTCTGTGATTGGTAGGGAAAGGCAAGGACGTGAGGACCCCAGCCGACACCGGCCCGCAGAGTCGCCCCTGCGCTGGAGACACAAACCCCACCGCGCTCTTTTCACTTTTCACGCTGCTCGCACAGAGATCGCCATTCCGGGGTCGAAGGCCACATTTGGAAGTACTGAAGAAAATCAGCCTCGCAGCCCCCGGCGCCACTCAGCTGTACTCAGGCGGCAGCGGCCCCGGCCCCGCCCCGCCCACCCCGCCATCGATAAAGTGCG